TTGCATTTCACCCAGGAGGAAAAACGCCTTACTTTACATAAATCTGAAGAACTATCAAAATTATTTCCTCTTCTCAGATTTAGAAACCACTTCCATTATAAACAGGCTCTGGCATGCATGACCTTCACGGGTGGAGAGGAGTATCAAGAGCAAATTCTAAATCTGATCTCAAGTGGTATTGAGATTAGAGCTACTTTCTTAGAAAACAACTCACAGATCCACCTCACAACCTTCTGGCATGGCAATGACTGGAGGACTCTAGAAGTTATAATCCAGAACTGTAATTTCTCCATGCTCTGGTCTTAAAACAAATTCTCATGCATTGTGTCCATTTCTTGATGCTGAAGACACCTTCCAATTCACTCTCTTCACTAGACACACTTGCAGGATAAGGTCATGTATGGAAAGCATGCATAATCTTTTTTCTCTCCAATTTTAGCACATCAGCCTAACTGCATACATAGAATTTTGCTCCCATTGGTCACATAGGATCTCTGCTTGCCTGTACCTACAATAAACATACAGTGCTTCTCGCATAAGTGGTTTGTAACCCATGAAGCCGATTCCAGTAGCACATGATACTTACATGGAAGATAGTGATATGCTTTTGCAACCCTATTTTATCTTAGCTAGCAGGCAGTCATGAGATGCAGCTAGCAATGGTGACCCAAATTCTTATGATATTTATGTTGTCTGCCTGCCTCTCTCTCTCTCTCTCCAATGCACCATTCATCTTTCTTCCACTATAGCAGGACTGGGAACTGTGTGGCCCTCCCGTTGTGACTGGACCGCAACTCCCATTAACATTTGCCACTGCCTATGCTGTGCAGGGATAATGAGTTTTACATCCTAACAACATTGGGGGTAACTGTATGCTCCCAAAAGGACCACTTGGCTTGTACTGCCCCCCAGAGTAAAACAAGATCAACCATTTTTATAAGCCACTCCACTTCAGAGAGAGAAGCTTGCCTTCTAAAAGTTTCCCAATTAATGCAGAGAATCACCTTGCATTGAAACCAGACCTCGTGAAGCATATCACTATGACATTCCAGACACTGTGTCCATCCAGAGAGGTAACTTGTCAGACCTGCGATGGAAACATTGGCTACATGCTTTCAACACTTAAGAGGAAACTTTGCTACGAGCCTCTTTAGACCTGGAGGCTGCCTGTTGATGAGAAGCTTCTAGCCAATAATTCAGGTTCTGCTCATGTGAGGAACGTTTACCAGAAAGTCACCATGACTAAGCAACAGAACTGTTCATGCACATGTGTGGAAAGGTGTGCATGCAAGGGAGACCTTGGAAAAGCGATTAGAAAAAACTACAGTTCCCAGAATCCCCCTGGCCAATATAACTGGGAAGCTGTAGTCCAAAAGTTTTTCCTGGGACTAGTGTGCAGGCCTGAGCAAGTCTGAAAAGCTCAGGTTGAGCAAGCGGGATGGGGAGGAACAGTGCTATTGGACTGCAACTCCCATCAGTCCTAGAGAACAGAGCCAGTGAAGAGTGCGAGAGCAGCAAACCAACAAAATCTGGAGGGCCACATTATGCTCCTCCCTGCCCTGAGTCGTATTTCTTCATCATGTTATGGCTGAGAATGAGCCTTTCAGCTTTTAAAACATATACAGGCCAGAGCTCCAGCTTTGTCCAATCGACCACTTTGACCCCTAGGCCCACCTGGTTTCCCCCCCTTCTTCTCCTAGCAAAAGCTATACGTGGCCATTGGAGAACACAAGGACCTTGCAATCTACCTCCACTGCCACCTCCCCCAACTTCTGGTATATTGCACACATTTTTGAGGCACCTTTACCACTTAAGGCCAAACAGACAGTTGTTCAGGAGAAAGAAGTGCCTACGTACAGGTAAAAATAACAGAAGACAGGACTGTAGGAGTGAAGGGAAAACTAGCCTTGCAGCTGTTGTTGCTCTCTTAGGGATCCTTCTGGCCACTGGCAGAAGAGAAGGAAAGGGTGTAGGAAGTATCAGGCAGAGTAAAACTAGTAATAGAGGAGGAGGTAGAGGAGGGGAAGGTGCCCATGGAATTATTATTAGTTATTTCTGCTCCAAATGGGCACTTTGCTTTCTTACTATCGGAGAAAAATTGAACATATAGCAGCCCTTAGTCCTCCAATATTAGGTCTTATTTTCCCATTGTGCCACACTGGAGTGACTGATTAATTTAATTGTTGTGCAAAGTTGGTGAAGATAACTACAGGTACAGATTTACTGCAAATAAGCTCCAGTGAAGCTTGCAACAGTGTAAAAGTGATATGGAAGTTGGTATTGCAAGTTTAATCTAATAATTTTATCAGATCCCAATAGATTCAAGTAGCCAGCTCAAGGCTCATTCAGCCTTCCATCCTTCTAAGGTCAATAAAATGAGTACCCAGCACATAGGGGGCAGGGGGAGTTTTGTCTGTTTATTATGTTGCAAACTACCCAAAAAGTGCTTTAACTCTCCGGGGCAGTATATAAGTCAAAACAACAGCATTTTCATCTGCATTTCTTCATGTATAAGACATGGCTTGTGCCCAGCCATTCCCTTCCCTCTCTTTTACAGATATTTTATTTTTAAATTAAAGTATAACAACACTTTTTTCAGAACCCTGAATTAACAATGGACAATTGTTTTGCGAGAACGATGGTTCTTATCAGCATTCCTGAAAATGAGCAACTTTTTGTTTTCCCTCAAATTGAATTCAAAAGTATCTAACACCCTACATGAGTTACAGCTAACTACTCCCATATTTGCTGCGCTGTGCGAGACCAGAGGTTGAACAGGATCTTGCAAGGTCTCCTAAAATTTCACAGGCACTGGCCCAAAGCTGCTGTGTCGCACTTGAAATGTAAGAAGCCACTGCAGAGAGAGATCCCAGCTCAGCTCAAGGCAATGACCTTTAGCAAATAATAGCATGGGATCCCCTGGGAGGGACACAGAAAGCCCCTGCCTACCTAGAATCAACAGAAGCTGTTCTCTCCTCCTGCCTGTTCCCATGATAATGCGGAGAAGGGATTTAGTGGGAAACAGTGAAGCAACATTGAGTCAGCACCCACACACTCTCCACAGTTAGATTATTCATACCAAAGTTATTGAGGAAAGGCAAAAACCGGTAAAATCTATCCTTCTGCTGCAGTGAGCAAGCATTCAAAGGCCCAGCCAAAGGAAATGGATGCTGTGACTGAGCTGTGAAGCTTGCCAAGTGCTTGCACTGGCAAAATGCCAAAAGTAGGGCTGATGGTAGGGGAAAGAAACCTGCCCAAGGAGGCCTGGTTTCTATGAGAATCTTGAATTTTCTGTGCAGACAGAAAAACAGTATAAGTAGCTTTTTAAAGCATCATCCAAATCTCCTAACTGGGAGACTACATCCTAGGCTAGTTGGTCTACATAACTGATGATGATGATGAAACCCTGCAAAGAGTCCCACTGATTTTATTTGATAATCTCTTAATGATAACAGAAAGAGATTGAATAATCCCCATCTTTTGGTATCTATGTAAAGGAAATGATTACATAGCTGAATCAGACATCATGTAGAATAACCTGGCCCATGATATCTCATCTTTTTCTAGAGGCATTCACTTTCTTTTGAAATAGCATAAAACCAAGGGTACAATCCTCCAGGAAGTTTTACATAAACTAGCAGAAAACCTAATTTTTACTGAGTTCACTGGATTATTGAGAGCCTCTCTCTTTCTGAGGATTGTGGCCTATGTAAATATTTGGAATCTGACCTGAGGCTATTCTCTAAGTGGCACAAAATGAGGGTGTCCTGGAAACAATATTAGTTTTCTTCTATTAGAACTGTTGTTAAAGTTCTAGATTTTTTTTTTAAAAAAATTCCCTTTGAAAACAAAAGGACTCTTACTCTTAATGCTTTCCATGACTCAGGTACTCAAATGCTTACTGGTCATCTTTATAGAGGAAATATCTACAAGGATGAGAAACCCAGCATTCATTTTAGTAAAAAGGAAACAACACTAACCTCCTGCCTCTCCCATTTGGAGGTTTGATATGGAAGATTAGCTCTTCTGTGGGGAGGGAACTTTCCCCTAAATTTGCATTCTGAATGCTTGGGCTGATCTGGCACTGAACTGTCTTTCTGCTTTGGAAGAAAAGCTCTCATCAAAATATATAGTGCAGTATGAAGGAGCAACCAAAACAAGACATATACTCAACAGCTTCCAGCTCCATATAAGTGCCTTTTCATACAACATACACTCATCTAGTATGTTTTTCTCCAATGCCTACCTGTAAATCAGTGCCTACCTGTACACAGACATATAAATACATAAACAGAATCTACACCTGGTTTTGTAATATCCAGTGTAAACCTGAAGACAGCTAGGATACAGTAAGCCCTGTTAATTTATGATACTGGCACATACATTTGTGCGTGCACACACATTTACTTTTCCAACATAAAGTGATGGAAAGGAACACAACAACCCAAAGACTATCTGCTCAGAGAAGAAATATATATTTGGGAGAATTTGAGAACCTACTTTGCAATACTTCAAAGTAGGTTCTCAAAATCTCCCAAATAAAGTACAGTATAAGGCACAGTTAGTTTAAAACAAACAAAGAAAGAAAAGCAATTCACAAATACAGAACAAATAACAAGATCCAGGCTTGAAATGTGTGCCCTACATCTTGAATTAAAGCCTCATAGCAAAAGGTACCCTCTCTGTGCATGGTTTGATTTCTGAAAGTGCTTTGAATAAGCATGCACCCAGTTTCCCAGCGTCTTCAGCCATGTCTTTAAAATGAAAGCTAAAACCGTCTCCGTTCCTGGACTCCGACAGAATGCATGGACCAAGGCACTTGTTAAGGGACAAATGGCATCTCTGCCCTAGAGAATGTCTCGCCTAGGCATTTCTGCACATCTGTGGGAAGCGTGATGCCAAAGGTTGCACGAGTTGCTCACGGGCCCAAGCCCTGCCCTGCGCCAGAGTTTTGGGCCGTCGTCTCCCACTTCCCTGAAGGCTCACGCCCACTATCTGACCTTCAAGGGAGAAGGCAAGCCCGAGGAAGGAGGCCTCGACGCCTTCTGGGGGCGCGTCGCTTCGCTCGGAGGGCGTCGGCAACCAGCATCAGGCCTCGAAACCCGGGGACAGGACGGGGCTCCCGCTCCGTCGCTCAGGGCGGCCACAGCCCGGGCATCTCCGGCGGCACAGGTGGAGATGCGCGCACCT